CCTATGATCCTTAATCTTTTAGAAGAAAAATAACCTTTCTCTGTTAGTGGGATTTCTGATTCATTTCTTCTGCCCTGCTCCCCTGCTCTGCATTTTTTTAGTCAAATACTGTCTGGACTTTTGTGAGCCAATAACCTCCCTCCTCACCTCATTCCTCTCTCTTCCCCTCCCCTGTGATCACACAAAGAGCAGAGAGCCCTCAAAAGCCTGGGTTTCTGGGTTTTGTATTTTAAAGAGAGGATGAAATACTTGCTGTACTTCAAAACATAAAACCGATCTGGTAAAACTTTCCCAAAAGAAATTGATTGGCATCAGCATAGGGGGAATAAGAAAAGTAAGAGAAATTGAGATTTAAAAAAAAAAAAAACGGAGGAGAATGGAACGCTGGCCGTTGTAATTCACACCAAACTGACTTTCCTTTAGTGCAAACTAGTAGGTGTGGCAACGACTTCAAACCTCCCAAGTTCGGGAGCCCTGAAAGCTTTCTACCTACTGATGTCTCTGAATAATAACCGGGGCCCATACACGGGACTGGGATTTGATAGCTGAGGCCTTCAGTCCTAACCATTTTGCCCTGTAACTTAGATCAGGACCTACACATTTATTTGTCCATGGCTACACTCATAGACATACATTCTAAAGCAGAGGCCATGAATTAAATCCCATGTACCACCCATTTTTGTACAGCCCTCTACCTAAGAATGAGTTTTCCAGATGAATGATTTGATGATAGGAAACATTACCTTTGAACCCCAGTTAAGCAAAATGCTGTTCACCCCAAAAGATTTCCATTCTTCTCACAAGCAGAACTATATTACTATAGAAGTTTACTATAAAATATAGTAGAACTATATTACTATAAAATCTACCCAATTTTATTTTGAATTTTATCAATAAAAAAATTTGTGCAAATTTGTGTTCTCACTTGCTATACCAGCACATATATAACATCTTCCCATTTGTCTCTCAGCCCACAAAGTCTGCAGTGTTTACCATCTGGCCTTTTCAGTCAAAAGTTTGCTGAGTGCTGCTCTAAGCTGTCACAAATAGAGATGATTTTGAAGGGAAAAAAAGATATTCTCACTCATTCTTTGTCTTTGCCTGAATCTGTTTTTTTGTTGTTGTTGTTGTTGTTGTTTGTTTGCGTGTTTGTTTTTAGTGGCAGAATCTCGCTCTGTCACCCAAACTGAAGTGCAGTGGTGTGATCATAGCTTACTGCAGCCTCAAACTCCTGGGCTCAAGCCATCCTCCCGCCTCAGCCTCCTGAGTAGTTAGGACCACAGGCGGGCACCACTGCACCCAGCTAATTTTTAAATTTTTTTGTAGAGATGGGGTCTTTGCTGTATTACTCAGGCTGGTCTCAAACTCCTGGACTCAAGTAATCCTCCCACTTCAGCCTTCCAAAGTGCTGGGATTATAGGTGTGAGCCACCACACCCAGGCTTTTTTTTTTTCTTTTCTCTCTTTAAAGAGTGAAGTTTCTCTGGTTAATATAAATGTGAGTTAATAGGCTCTGGCTTGTGCAATGCCCTGAGAAAACTGATATTAATTGTACAATTGTGAAATGTGGTATAATATTGTCAATAGCTGCCTGTTTAAAAATTTTAAATTACAGATTAAAATAAACCTGTGTTTCCATATATAAAACAGGCAGCAATAATAGTACCTACTTCAAAGGACTGACTAAAGGATTAAGTGAGATAATGTAAATAAGGGATTTAATAAATGTTAAAAAGAAAAAAATCTACCATTGAGATATAGGTTTGTTTGTACAAGACTTGGTGCCTTTTATCTTAACATACTATATCTTAGACAGACACAGTATGCCTGGTACATTGTAGATCCCTAAATCATGCTTCTCATCAATTTCAGTTAATATAAAATATAGTCCTATATCTCTTTTCAACACAATTCTGATTTTAAAGAAAAGATCTTCTTTTTTTTTTTTTTTTTGAGACGGAGTCTTGCTCTGTCGCCCAGGCTGGAGTGCAGTGGCCGGATCTCAGCTCACTGCAAGCTCTGCCTCCCCGGTTCACGCCATTCTCCTGCCTCAGCCTCCCGAGTAGCTGGGACTACAGAGTAGCTGGGACTACAGGCGCCCGCCACCTCGCCCAGCTAGTTCTTTGTATTTTTTAGTAGAGACGGGGTTTCACCGTGTTAGCCAGGATGGTCTCGATCTCCTGACCTCGTGATCCACCCGTCTCGGCCTCCCAAAGTGCTGGGATTACAGGCTTGAGCCACCGCGCCCAGCCAGGAAGGATCTTAAAGGAAGACTATTGTCTGTTTGAAACAGCATTACTACATCCTATACATTTCTTTTTCTTTTTCTTTTTTTTGAGATGGAATCTCACTCTGTCATCCAGGCTGGAGTACAGTAGCGTGATCTCGGCTCACTGCAACCTCTGCCTCCTGAGTTCAAGCGATTCTCCTGCCTCAGCCTCCTGAGCAGCTGGGACTGTAGGCACCCACCACCATGCCCAGCTAATTTTTGTATTTTTAGTAGAGATGGGGTTTCGCCACGTTGGCCAGGGTGGTCTCAAACTCCTGACCTCAGGTGATCTGCCCGCCTCAGCCTCCCAAAGTGCAGGGATTACAGATATGAGCCACCGTACCCTGCTATCCTATACATTTCTAAGATAAATTTTTAAAGCATAAGTAACTCTCATTGGAGAGCAAAAGAGGAGGTTTTTTTGGTTCAGAAAATTTTAGGATGATGGGGGTCATTGTTTTGCTAACCATCTGTGACAGACTACAGCATTGGAAAGGAACACTGTCTTGGTATTTTGAATAGCTAATATTTATGCCTGGGAATCCTCTACCTTCATGAAATCGACAGATGAGACTTAGAAATATGCATGACATTTTCAAGGAAAAAAAAATCTGTAGTGCTACTCGAGGAGATGAAATTTATGGTCCTGCCTGTTTTCCTCACTCTGTGGCTCCCATAATGCATCTTTGACTCTGGAGTTTGTCCTTCTCCCTCCAAGGCCGGATTTCATTGTCTTTCCTCCGAGAACCCTCTCCACTGCCCTCTTAGGCTGAATGAGCCTCTCCCCACCAAGCTTCAGGCCACTGGTTTCTACCCAGTGTTCACATTTTTTGTCTGTTGCCTTCGCTGGACCTCAGCTTCCCCCAAGGCTGAATTCTGTCCTCATTTTCATATTCCCAGACCCTGGCTTAGGTGCCCAGTATCTATTTGTTGAATCAATGAAATACTGACTAAAAATTGTCTAATGCCAAAATAAAATGAAAGCCAAAAAAAAGCCCTTTAGATTAGATTTTTGTCTCTTTTTTAGATATAGACTAATATACATAGATAATCATAACATTATTTTAGTGCTGATTAAAAATTCACAGATAAGCCCAAATGTATATATAACTTGTCTGAGGGTTAAGTTCTGAGGAATATGGAGGGCATCAGAGAGTTGATACAAATCCATCTTTATTTTCTGCAGGGCCAGCTCCCCGGTCCCCCTGCAAGTGTGTTTCCTAGATGTGGCAAAATACCTGCCACAGTGTTCCAGGCCCAAGTGTCTAGCTCATGGCGGTCAGAGGGGAAGGGGCAAGTGTCTTCTCAGTCATAGTCGCCGTTATCAGTTGGGCTTCCTGTGCACGAGGTGCTTCATCAAGGGTGTTTTGTTTTGTTTTGTTTTGTTGAGATGGAATCTCGCTCTGTCGCCCAGGCTGGAGTGCAGTAGCCGGATCTCAGCTCACTGCAAGCTCCGCCTCCCGGGTTCACGCCATTCTCCTGCCTCAGCCTCCCGAGTAGCTGGGACTAAGGCGCCCGCCACAACACCCGGCTAGTTTTTGTATTTTTTAGTAGAGACCGGGTTTCACCGTGTTAGCCAGGATGGTCTCGATCTCCTGACCTCGTGATCCGCCTGTCTCGGCCTCCCAAAGTGCTGGGATTACAGGCTTGAGCCACCAAGCCCGGTCTCATCAAGGGTTTTACGTGTATCTTTTCATTGACTTCTCACAACAATCCTATTATTATATCCAACGGCTAATATGAATCTGGGATTTAAAGAGGTTAAGTAACATGCTTAGGGTGTCACCAGCTCCAGGTGTGCCGGGTTCCAAAGCCCGTGCTCTTCACTATTAGGCTTTCCTTACCTCTCACCTCCTTTCCAGGGAAGTGGCAAGATTTTTGGAGCCGGCGAATCCAGGGACTCATGACCTGTTGTTTCTCCTTGAAGCACAGACCAGAGGAGTCATGTGCGCAAGAGTGTTATTAATCACTATGCTTTCCCCTCCTGAGCTCAAGAAAAACAGAACTGTCAAGAGTTAGGAATTGTGTCCTGGTCACCAGGTTCCTTGTTTGTCCCATGACCTAGAGTGGGGTCATCCCAACACAGATGTGCTAGGCTGTAAGCTGAAGGTGACAAGGGAGGCAAACTGCACCAAAGTGAAGTCCTCCAACTTTTAGAAGAGGCTAGCTACTGTGCACGTCAATTTTTTCTAACCTTATTTTGGTGGCTTATATGCAATTACATGCGAGTTACATTTATTGAGTACCACGTGCGGGAAGTCCTAGGCAATGAGAAATGAGCTTCATGGTAATTGAGAATGAAGTTAAGGAAGAAAATTTTATTGTTAATCTAGGGCTTAATTGCCTCCGGGACATTTTAAATAAATGCCATGCAGTACTTAAGGAGCGATGTTCTGTAAGTGAGATGCAAAAATTCTTTAATTAAACCATGGTGGGTATTCCCTGATTGAAATATCTGCCTTTATCTTAATATTTAAACCTTTGTGATTCATGTAACAACTTAATTAGGGATGGAGTAAATTAAAGGCTTCTTAAAAGAACAAATCAGTTGTATAAAATTGATTAAAAGTATTTCTGGGATAGGCTTCTGTGTATTTGTATTGATCAGAACATATCTTTGGTTCATTTTATGTTTAGCTGTCTTCTCGAGTAAGCTGTGTTTCAGCCTGTAGGGGACAGATGGTGGCTATGGCATTGTATAGGGCAGACAGTTATTAGAATTTGTCTGAGAAATGGATCAAATGGAAGGGTTTTTGGCCACTGACAAAGGAGACATTTCCCCAGATGATGACTTGGATGGTCCTGCAATTAACCAGGTAGGAGGCTGCCAAGTCAGTCCGTTGGTCAGTCAGTCAACACACCTGAGTGCAGCCACGGAAAAGGCCTTGTACTCAGTGCTGATAAGCTTGTGTCAGTGTCAAACTAAACAGACCCAGAGATTCAAGGGGACTTGAATCTGCTTGTACATGGTAAAAAACAAAACGGAAACCCCGAAAACTTAGGTATTCAAAAGTTTAGACTTTACTGGATCACTCAGTTTATGAGTGGCAGAGATGCCTGGTGTGGAGCTCGATAAATTCTTGTGAAAAGAAGGAAGGAAATGAGAGTGGGGGCAGTCACCTGGAAGGAGGGAGGGGGACAAGTCTTGCGTCTGTCACTGTACTACACAGCGTTCCCTGACTAGTTGGACACTCAGCTGTGACTCTCGTGCTATTAACAGACATTGTCATGAGGATTCAAAAAGTGCAGGGAATACACATCAGCGGCATTTAAAAAATTCAGGGTTGGTGTGTTTTGCCAGGCTAACATTGTGATTTCATTTAATTCTTAAAAAGAGTAAAATTGCTCTTAGAAGTTACCAAAATTTTAAAACACAGGATCACGTCTCTTTTTAAAAATTTATTTAGGTCAAATAAGCAGCCAATAACAAGCTGAAATAGTCCTCCAATAATGGTGTTTTATAAATGGGTTTATATGGAAATTTTTATCTCCTAATTTCAATGTTCATAATGTGAAACAGTCAAGCCCTTTAAAAGGGGTTGCATTTTCAAATAAACACACTTAGACACACCGTGTGAACTTAGTACTTGAGGAAAGGAAATGAGGGAAGGAAAGGAAAGTATTTTAGGTCATATTTTCGTGAGGACTCTGTGGTATTCAGCACGTGTTGGCAGACCCTGGCCAGGCTCAGAAACGATGGGTCGGGTTCTGCCTACTGTTTTAAGACCACACTGGCCAGGGTGGCCCCCAAGGTGCCTTTCTGCCTCCAGAATCCCTGTTATGGGCCCATGGAAAGCCTGTGGACGCCCACCAACTGCTGACGGGTCCCTGTGATGGTTTAGATCTGAAATCATACTCGGTTCTTTGGCCGTGTTCTGGAAGCCTCGAATTGTTATGTCACTGTGTGTATGGAAATCTCTTTAGGATTCTACGTGATAATTCAGAGCAATTCATTCCATTCTAATTTTCATGCCCTTGAAGAACTGTGCTTGTGGCCGGGCGTGGCGGCTCACGCCGGTAATCCCAGCACTTTAGGAGGCCAAGGTGGGTGGATCACCTAAGGTCAGGAGTTCCAAGACGAGCCAAACCAACATGGTGAAACCCCATCTCTATTAAAAATACAAAATTAGCTGAGCATGGTGGTGCACGCCTGTCATCCCAGCGACTTGGGAGGCTGAGGCAGGAGAATTGCTTGAACCCAGGGGGCAGAGGTTGCAGTGAGCCAAGATCGTACCATTGCCCTCTGGCCTGGGCAACAAAAGCGAAACTCCGTCTTGAGAAAAAAACAAAACAAAACAAAACAAAAAACTGTATTTGTAAAAACCTGAACAAAGACCATCATATCTGCACAAAGTCGGTGAAGAAAGGAAAATGAGCCATGTGTACTCCAGAGCAACTAGCTGCTTCCCAATAGCCATAAATACGTCTTGTTTCTTCATTTCCAAATAATTCAAACTTAAAGAAATTTGTACGTGCCCAGGAAAGCTCTATCTTCGCATTCTCTACCATTAGTTTTTTCTATGATTCTTTAGTGTTGTAGGAGATATTTATGAAATCATTTCCTCTGACTCTAGTGAATCTGCCTTTGAGAGCTCAATGATAAATACACAATCAGCATGTGTGCTAAAAGGCTCGAGAGTCTCATGACAAATGCTGTCCTGTGCCTTGCAGAGCAATGATGCCTGTAAGCATCTTTCCTTGTGCGCCCACTCACTCGCTGGCTTGGATACAGCGAGTCTCAAGACATCGTAAGAAAATTGCCATCTGAGCATCACGCTGCAGGATCTGGTGTTGGATATTTTTGTGGCTACGTGGATTCTTACTCATTTCCCCTCTCCGTCTGTCTTGTATTTTCTCTGTGCCAGTCTTGCCTTAGTTCATATGCATTCAGGAGAAGGTATCATTAGCAACTTGATGCCCATATTATGACTTAACGAGCTGGAAAGTCGACACGTATAGATTCTGCATCTCTCAAACTGAGATTTTTGATTCGTAGACAGGTCGCCCGTAGACTCTTCCCGGAGGCTTTGGCTGCTTGGGACACAGATTGTAATCACAGTAATTAGCACTGAATTTTCAAGTCCTGCTCTCCAGCTTGACCTGGCAGCATTTAACGGTGTGCACACAGCTGGATCAATGGCAGGAATTGAAGGACCCAGTTGTGGGGCTGCTCCTGGCAGCCTGCAATGGGCACCGTCCCTGGAGAATTCCAGGAAAGCATCAGGGACAAGGGATGGTGCAGGGACCTGGGTGCGAAAGTAAAGAAATGTGGTATTTATAAAGCACGTGTTGACGGGAATCCTGTTCAAAATTGTTACTGGAGACAAATTGAAGTACAAACTTCTGCCTGAAATTCATTATCAATAAATTCATTTTTCTCCTTCTTGCTTAGTTAAGTTTTGGATATTCCTAAAATGTCCTTTGTCAAAGTTTACACTTCCTTTCCCTAAAAGAAGTACTTACAGATAGGAATCTTAAAGCTAGTGGGAAAAAACTGTAGGACACAAAACATATACTTCAGTGGCACAAATGGGGCAAAGAAGCACCGATGCTGTTATGAAATAAATTCTCTAGGAAGTTTGGTGGTGTTGGAGAGACAGGAACTCAAGCTCAGATAAGCCAGAAGGCTCTCCTCTGTCACCCACTTCTTCATATTCCCAGGGAGTGTGTCACCTTAGCAGGCCACTAGAAGGAAAGAGTGACAAGAACATGGCAGTTCGGCATGGCAGACCCTAACCTCCATCCATCGAGGGCTAGTGATTTTGTGGGGATACTTGAAGGCTGACTGCTGAATAATAGGTTTAAACTTTCAGGAAATACCTCTCAACACAAAACCATTGGAGCATATGTAGCCTGTCTTTTTTTGACGGGGAGAGAAGGAAGTCCTGCTTTGCCACCTGGACTGGAGTGCAGTGACATGATCTCGGCTCACTGCAACCTCCGCCTCCCGGGTTCAAGTATTTGTAGTAGAGACAGGGTTTTGCCACGTTGCTCAGACTGGTCTCGAACTCCTGACCTCAGGTGATCCACCTGTTTCGGCCTCCCAAAGTGCTGAGATTATAGGCATGAGCCACCGTGCCAGGCCCAGCGTATGTAGTATCTCTAACCCTATGATCAATCTAGTTGAAAAAGCATGGTAGGCAGAGTTTTACAATGAGAGGTTTTTTTTAAAGTTTAGTTTTCTTAGAGACAGAAACATAATTGTTCCATTCTACCGTTTTGCATCTGTAGCTCATATGAGGTTGTACGTTTGCCTTTGTCACTTGTCAGCATTTGCACTGACTTAAGTTGCTAGAGTATTTATGTGGAAAATGAGGGCAATTCTGTGTGTAAATATCTCACTTGACAATCATTGTATGATTTGAATGTTCACTTGGAATGGGACCCTGACATGTTCACACGTACTAGTTTTCAGCTGCAGTTACATTTGCCACTAATTTGTACCTTGGAACGTGTTTATCGAAGCTGCTGTGGGGCACTCGGTTCTGGGAGCCCTTTCACTCATCATCTGCTTCCAGATCGCACCTTGCACTGGGAGAAACCTGGTGTCTTTCTGGAAAATTCCTTACCATTTCACAGCTTACCCAGTCATGCGTTTAGCACTTTTTGCTGAAATTCTTTTGTAAATAAGCAGGAAGCCTTCTTTACTATTTTCATTATAAAACGGGAAATGAGGATAAAAGTTACACATATTGTTATTTTAACATCTAGTCTTGTATTTGTTGAAGAGTTACACTTTTACTTAAAAACAAAACCAGAGAATTATGCCTGTTGCCAACCTCTGTCAATGATGGCTCTTCATTCTTTTAAAGTTTACAGCAGAAAACATTGTGTTAAGCTCTTCTTGGCTTTAAAAGCCAAATTAGACACCCAAAAGTCTTAGCACTTTAAAATCTTTTAAAAGATGATTTAAGTAAATCGCTTTAGAAATCTATGCCCAACTTCTAAAAAGCACTTTTCACATCTTGCCTTTACAAGTAACTGTGGAATTAGACACACCGTAAATTTACTCTATTTTCTTAATAAGTTTGAATTTTCAGAAAGCTTTTATTTTTATATTATAGAGCCAACACGGCTGTTGGATGTTGAAGAGACCCAGCCAATATTATTACACATTTCTTTCTTAAGTGCAGAACTTGGATTGGGACAGGGACTGTTTGATTTGGAAAACATCATCTGTTTTCCTTCTCCTCCTCCTTTCCTTCTGTGTTTATTTCATTTGGTGGCTGCAAGTTGCAGGTTTTTTCCACTTCGCACTTTTGCTAGCCCTCTTCTTTTCTTCTCCTTTACAATTTGCACTAGAAGAAGGTAGTGGGCTTTTTGTTTGGGTTCGGTTTTTTTCTTTTTCTTTCTTTCTTTTTTTTTTTTTTCCTTTGCATCTTCCTTCCTTTCCACGGAGAGATTGTTGCTGACCAAATTTAAAACACTACAGTGTTTAGGATCCCTGCAGGGCCATTTTAAGTATTTGGAGCCATAAAGGGCCCCAAGCAATAACTACCTGAATTGCTTTTAATTACACAATATAGCTGCATCATTTTACTTCAGATTCTTTTTGATTGATGCTGCAAGGCAATTGTAACCGCGGATGATGGGATTAAGTGCCTCTTGAAGTGACTTTAGCTTCTTGTGGGAACAAAGGGAAAGAGGAGAACACTTAGTCCCTTTTTTGCCTGAGCTGCCTTTTTCTTCACTTGCGTATAAAGAAGTACAATTAACAAACATTATCCCCAGAGGTAAATTGAAATGTACATGCAGACAAGAACCGCTCTTGACTGCAATTAGACATATATGATCCAAGGTATTCTGGCCATTCATTAGCGCTAATTGTTTGAGAAACAAGCCCAGAACAAATGATTAAAATGTAGGCGCCATAACTGGGATTATTAGCACGTGTGATAAAATGTACTCTGTGGCTGTACCGAGGAAACGCTTTGGAAAGCAGCTGTGATTTGAAGAATGGTTGGTTCGGCTCTGTGGTGAGCTCTTGGTGTTTGCTCAAGACCTGGTGGTGTTTATAACAAACAACTTATATCTTTCTTTCGTAATTAGTGGGAGTTACAATGCAAATGTTGGTATTTTGTAATTTAATATCCTATTGCTTTCCCGTGCCTTTGGGTTGTTCCTGCAGTCTAGCGGTATTGCGGGGACTCGGGATAACCTGAATTCTTAGGTTTTGCTTGTACACTCCACTTTCTGTAAAATGTTAGAGGCCAGGAAGAACCACTTGAGTGTGCGCTCTTATTTGACTTTTGAATAGTCACTCATCACACCTACACTGTAGTGACAGGGAAAGGTTCTGAGAGATCCTCTGACATTTGGAACTTCCCTTACAGTACAGAGATCTGGCAGGGCTGACCTAGTCAGACATAAACCAGCTGGGAGCTGGTTGGCCCATCTAAGCGGCCAGCAGTCTGCAGGGTTCTTATGACTGAAGGGACTGGTTTTGGGATGTGCCAGCTCCAGACCTAAAGTCGCTAAGCCCTCTAGGACCTGTACAAGTGGAGAACGCCTAATCCAAGTTAAGTGGCCAAAGGAGTAAGCACCAATTCAGAGAGATAGGTGGCGATTAAATACCCTATGGAAATGTATTTAGGAGCTGGGGCCTAGCACTCAGTGAGACAGATGGGAGATACCCAGGGCAAGGGAAAGAGAACATATGAGATGAAAGAGGACCAAAGGAGCAATCGAGGGCTCAATGGGGAGTGTGCCGAGCAGGCAGAAGCTGCATCCCACGTAGTAGGTCTGTCTACTACTGGATGCTTCAGGGCTCCCTATTTGGAGCTCAGTGCTTGTCTGCCCTCCACTTGCAGTGCTGCATCTGGAGTCACAGGCAGGACCATTTGGAGATTGTCCATTTGGTGCCATGAAAACCTGCAGCTACCTTTCAATCTCAAGTGGTCTGTGCTTGTCACCCAACATACTTCCCAGCCACCTATCCCTTAGCATGTCATTAGCACATTCCAAGGGAAGACAAATATCAGGGTTAGAGAGGATGTAAGATTAAATTTGCTTTTAAAGTCAGCTACCAAATTCAAAAGACAAACACAAAAGATTTTCTGGTTCTCTCAGTCTCTGACTGACCTATTCTGTCTTTCTTGCCACTGTCACAGAAAATGGAATTAAGTCACAAATAAACCATAACATAGATTATTATAGACATACAGCTTGTAAAAGATTCACCTCTGAATTTTTAGTTTTATTCTCTTTGTATTTATGATAAGTGTTACTGTCTGAATTTGACCACTTAGTTCCACTGCAAACTAAGTAACTGTGTATATTCAGAGTGGGTTTGGCAGGGAGCTGAAAATAAAGGGGAAAGAAACTGTTTTGCACTTTAAACTGGTGCATTGCTGTGTGGTACTGAATTAAGAAAAAAATAATAAACTCCCTTAAAATTAGAGGAAGTTCTAGGAAGTCTTGCCTTAAATAGACATTTGAAGGAATTAGTGCTTATAGCACATTAAACATACTTCAAAAAAAAAAAAAACCCCATCTATGTTAGAAAAGCCTTCATGATCATATCCATATGTTTAGTTTTAATTTTCATCACACTTAGCTCTGAATAATTAAGAAGGAAAAAACAATCTTAATCTTATTGTGGGTCCCATACAATCAAAGCCACATACACGTGATTGGTGATCACAGCTTGTATTCACAGCTTTCGTGTGTGTGGTATGGGTCTGGCAATTAGACTCAGACTGTGTTTTTTTTCTAAAAATTATTCAGTGCTAGAGAGTGATCAATATTAAACTCTTCCAAAAATCTACAAATCAGAATAATCAAGGGACTGTGGTTAAATAGAAAAAAAAAATGGCAAAATTCTAAGCTATGTAACATTTTGGCCTCGTTTCATTGAGATTGACACTTGAAAGGAATTTTTGAGAGAATCTAGGAAGAAAACGGAGATTCCATTAACCCGGGTCATTTTCATGACAGTTACCAAAAAAAAAAGAAAAAAAAAAAAATTCAGATGTGGGAAGAACTATTTTCTCAAAATTGCAGAGCCATTTTCTAGAAGAAAAAAACATACTCTTCCATGATGACTTTCATATCAAAGTACCCAGTCATGGAGGAGATGCATTAATTTGACACATTTAGCAGCCTTTGAGCTTTTGAAAAACTCTGTAAAAGAATCCATGGTTACATCTGTCAGGTTGACAGTCTTCTTTTGTGACCTTTAAAAAAAAGTTAAGGAGAAACCGATCTTTTTCGTTCACATTTACTCAGTTACCTCTCACTGAACAAGCCGGGAAATAGT